TACTCGTTTACCTACCATCCTCGCTGTACCACTAAACAAGAGTTAGAGAGAGAGAGAGAGAGAGGATTACCCTAGCTTGGGAACACGAGTGTCCGTGTTGAAGTGGTATTTGACAGTCTTGGGCTTAACCACCCATTCATATTTGCCATTCCTATTTTCATGAACAACCTCAGTCGTCTCATATTCGTACACCGATTCAATCTTATCCTCTGTGTACTTAACATTAGGGCTCTCCACACGAAAGCTCTCAATAAACATCTTCTCTCTAAAATTAAAACCACCAAAAACTTGTTATATTTCAATCCAAGAAAACACAACACAACGAACGAGAGCTGCTCTCTCTGTTTCTTTTTTCGTTTTTCAGTACAGAGAGCGGCTCTCTCTCTCCCTCTCTCTCTCTCTCTAAACAATCGTCCCCCAAGCCCTCGCTCGCTTTCGCTTGCGCCTGGCGTTGCGATACCCATCCCTCTATTTATAGGCTCGAGTGCCACTGTAGTGACACGTGTCACACCGTGATTGGGAACCGTACCTGCATTCATGGCTCTCGCCCTTGCACATATCAGCCATGCACTAGGGGCGAGTGCCTTCTTCCACTTGACCACCCGTGCGAACGACATGTGTGGCTTTCCACTGTGACACGAGCGTGGCCGTGCGGGAGTGGTAACACTCGTGGAACGCAGCATCGTGCGACACGAGGCCCTGGTTCAGTAATCGTACGGTAATAAGGAGCCCACGTGGACGGCAGGGAGTCCCGTGAAACTGGGATTAGGGGATCGATCAGAGGTCTTCTGCCACGTGTCGATAGGGTGGTCCTTGTCCTTGATGGGGTTTTCGAAATTCTGAGGTCGAGATTTAAAGGGGTCTCTCAGAGCCTGACGCCGTCGGCGTGCATAACTCTCGCAGAAATTATGATTTCCTAAAATGCCCCTTTTCTATTCAAAATGCCTTCGGTTTTGTACGTACGAGTTTCCAACATGGGCGTGCGTGCGTGAGTGAGTGTGTGGAAATTGAACCATTTTTAAGGCAATGCCCATAAATCTCTTGTAGTAGTACTCTCTGCGAGTGTAAGAAGAGTCGAACCGGAATGTGAATAAAAACTTAAGCCTCAAAGTGGTTCGACTGATTTAATCGATAAACCAGTCTAAGTGGGCAGGTTTTGGGTATTCAAAAAAGTATTTGAATATATATATATATATATATTTAATAAAATATATTTAAAGCGTGATTAAACAAAATACATGTAAGTGAAGTTGAAAATTAATGAAAAAATAAAGTTTCACGAACAAATTTGTACCCAAAAAAAGTTTTAAATTTTTTTAAAAAAGATGAAAAAATATAAAAAAAAATATTAATGGTCAAAATAATTTTCAATCTTTGTTAAAATGAGTATAGCAGAGATGAAGATATCGAGATGGATGAAGGACAAAAAGGAATAGATTTCGAAATGAATCCATTCGAAATAATTTAGGTGTGCCATCAATAGGCAATAAGTTGAGATAGAGTAGAATTAGGTGGATTAGCCATGCGTAGCGCTGACTAAATACAACACTTGTTAGGAGGTACGATTTAGTTTATTTGAAAGGACTAAAAAAGACAAAAAACGAGGTTGGAAGTATTTCGGAAGGAAATGGAGACTTATATTTTTACTGATGATATGACTTTTAATAGAGCATAGATGGACCAAGATTTGTGTAATCGAACCCAATTAAATGGAAAAAAACTATGACGACGATGCCAAAATGATGAAAGCTTATATATATATATATATATTAATGATCATATACGACCCTCTCTCATCCATGTGTGTAGGACCCTAAAGGATCACCATTAAAGTTGGCACGAATCTTTAAAAAAATTATCACGTGGATGTGAGACTTGACTTTGCTAGATATTTGTGCTAACTTTAATGGTGATCCTTTGAGGGTCCTACACACATAGGTGGGAGATGGTTCTATAAGATCTTTAAACAAAAAATTTTATTTATGAGATTTTATATTATTTTTTTAATTTTTTTTAAGAGAAATGATACTATGAGACCCTCCTACACTCATGTATGTAGAACTCTAAAAGATCACCATCAAATTTGGTACATATCTCTAGAAAAATTATCACATGGGTGTGAGACTCGATTTTTTTAGATATCTGTGTCAAATTTAATGGTGATCTTTTGAAATACTATACACATAGATGTAAAAAGGTCTCGTAAGATCATTACTCTTTTTTTAAATACTTGACAAATTTACCAAAACCGTTCGAAATCAGAACCTAACAGTAGCCAGATTCGATGTAACCGGACGGATAAAATTTGAACCGCGAAATTTTCCTTAGTTGTTCTCTACTTTTTCCGGCATTAATTTTGCTCCTCTCACAATACCTGAAATTCCCCATAATGAACTTATCTTCTATCCAATAAGGTCCAACATTGAAATACGAGAGCATGAGGAAGTGTGCAAATGCGAAATTTGTTGAAGTTTCGGTGGCATTATACGACTTGGTAGACCCTCGAAGTGTGTAGAATGAATGATGCAATCAGAGAAAACCACAGTGAGCGTGGTGCCCACCAAAACCCATGTTACGTGGGACCCACGCTGGAAGACATGCCTCCCATGAATACAAACCCGGTTTTAACCTCTATCCCCATTTTTGCTGCACTTTTTCGAAATTTCAGGGAGCTCCCTGTTTTGCCCACGCCGCTCCTCCCTCTAACCCAAATACAAGCCGCCAAAATCCGAAATTCCAAATGGAATTTCGACTAAGCGGTGGTAACTAGCGGGTTGATCCTAGGGTTGGCGGGCCATCCCTACCTAGGTTACCAACTGTGCTTGAGGGCCTGGTTAGGGTTAGTGCCAACCCTGTTCAGCCTTTAACCCTATACAATTTTTTTTTTTTTGTTTATTTTTTTAACGTTAAATTGTAGAAGTTAAAGAGAAATGAGTATTATCTTTTTATTTTTTATTTTTGTTTGTTTTAAGCGCAGCCCACCCCAACCAATCCTATAGCGACAAGGGTAGTCCTATAGGGACAAGGGTAGGGCAAAGGGCCAAGATTGGCCAAACCCAACACAAGTCTTAACAAACGATTGCCCCTCCCATCAAATTTCGTCAAATATTTATTAAAAATAAGACATGTCAATTTTGAAAAGACGATACAATACTGTACTCACACGTGATTTTTATTATCTTTGCTTCTCTTTTCACCAACAATGTGCAAGATCAAAAGAGTCCGTGCTGGTTTATTTAAGATGGGCGTGCTATCTATATATCGTATAAGTCACTTTTTTTATTGTCTCCAGATGGGTCCAAAGGATCAATGATTTTTTACTCTTTCTCCCTATTTCAGACCTCCTTTTGTTTGAGAGCTGAGTTAATGTGTCCATATCCCCATCTTCTAGGAAAAAATAATGAAGATGGTGAACACTGTTAAATCGTCGTATCTCCATCTCAAAAAAACAATTCAGTTTTTTTTTTTTAAAAAAAAGAGCACTTTTTGACTCCCCAAAAGTGAATATTGTAATCAGATATGATTTTGATGGGCGCACTTTAATCCAATTGTATTTTTACCATGTAAAGTGAACCAATTTTTGGAAGATTTCCGGTGAATTTACCTTCTTTTTCACATGGGTGTTGGTAAATTTAACATTGGGAATGGAGCTGAGGCTTTAAACAATCAAAATAAAGCGCATTTTCAAATAGTATCGAGAACTATGGTTTCAATACTGAAAATTATTGTGATAGCCTTAAAATATATTTTTATATTTAATTATAGATTTAAAGCTTCAAAAATAACGTAAATCAAGCACATTTATAAAAACTTGAAAATATTGAAATTGACGGTCCAAACATGCGATACAAGATTCACTAAATCCATTTTTTTCTCATGTCCATGTATTTTGATATAGAGATAATCAATTTTGAGGATATTTGGACGTCAAAACAACATCTTCTATAGCCTCGGCTCTATGTAAACATTTTCCTTTTAAATTTCAGTAACTATTGTTCACAAATTTGGATGGAAACCTACTAAAGAAAGTAGTACACAAGTTTGGCGTGAACGCCAATACTAACGGTGGACCCCACAGCAAAAGTAGTACGAAATTTTTTAGTGAAGTCCACAGGGTTTCGTGGTCTTGAGTCCTTGGCGAGGTATTTTAACTTTGCAACTCAAGGTCCGACACCTTGGAAGCTATGTTGAGTTTATAGAACATATGTTTTAAATTTGTATAACATAAAAAATTCGGGGATTATCAATAAATCCATAATCATACTTAGCAAGTGGGCATTATCAATAATCGGCTCACCATGAAATCAAAAACTAATCGTTTTTATTTTAAAAAGTCAGATAAAAATAGCGGGCAAAAATATGGATCGGTAAAAATACTTTATGTAAAGAGATAGATAATATATCGGACTAAGCTCAAAAATCGAAGTAAGAAAATATGATATATTTAAAATATTAGAAATTTTGAAACTCTAAATATATATATATATATATATGTCACTCAATATAGAAAC